CAAGTTATAGTACGTACATGTATCGGTTCAATCATGGAGGTAGCTCCATGGTTCAATCTTTACCGGGTAAGTTGACAGCAACAAGCTATATGCATAGGTTCTATAACTTTTGTAGCTCACTTGCGTCTAGATTTGGGACGAACCCATGTTACTTTTTCGCCGCAGTTTTTCATGTAGTGGTTACTTCGACAGCCTTTCCGCTGACGCAAACATACTAGTTTGAGGTTCCACAGTTCTTACAACGTTAGTGCTTGAAGTGGTGTTTTCCAAGTTTGTTGGTCTGGTGATGTTGTCTTTGTTGGCTTGTTGTCTGTCATTTCCCTCCATTTTTATGTTTGGCGGCCCGTCTTTGATGGGTTGGGTTTGGTTCACAAATCTCGGCTTCGCTAAGATCCGTTCCTTCCCGTACGTAGTGGTCGCTCCATTAGCGCTAGTGCAGCCACATTTGAATGTGTAAAACTTAATGTCTACAGTCCCGTTTTGATTCGTTCATCAAAGTAGATTTTACTAAGGTATGACTTTACTAACTGATTGTGGAAGTACTAGTACTTAGTACTGATGTAAACAAGAAACAATATACCCGCTCTGGTTGAGGTCATGGCATTTACATGAAACAAGGTGCTAATAGCCGCTAGTCGGTGACCTGTCAGCAGCCCTATGATTGGTGTCCGCTAGAAATCTACTGGATGTCATATAGTGTACACGGGGGGGGGGGGGGTGGCTTTTGAGGCCCGCGCCCACTTTCATGTCAGATAGCGCCAAAACGGCTTGCGCTAGAAGCGTCAAATTTGGTGACTTTTCCTAAAAAAACATCTGGCAGCAATTTCATATTAATTAGATAAATTCCTAATATTTTGTGTTGCCATGGCAACGGGTTTCTGACAGGCAGTTTCTGTAAGTTTTACGGAAAAAAGACTTTTTACAGTTTTACCCCAAAATAGCATATAAATGACGTCATAATGACGTGATATGATGTCATAATTGCACAAAAATTGTTTTTATGAGCTAATTTTATTACTACACCATTCTCTGAGAATTTGGTGGCCCTACGATAAGTGGTTGTTGAGTTACAGGGGGAGGGCCTCAAAAGCCCCCCCCCCCGGGTCTGAGCATGCCCAAAAAAGCCCGGTCTGAATAGGGTTAAAAGAACAGTAATCTCCAAGCTATTAACACTGAGTTAGTTGCTGTGTAATCAAAATGTGCTTACCAAGTAGTTTATTGTCCTGACCACCATGTAAGGCTCTTGCTATCCTTGTGGGCCAGATGGTTGGTTGTTACAGGAAGTCTCTCTACGGGTCACTGCACCACCTGTAAGTTTGGACAGATTTAATCAATGGAGGAGAAGGTTCGTCCTGCGTTTGGTAATGTCTGGAAATTTGAACCACAAGAACCCCGGTTATTTAATTCTATGTTTCAATCAGAATCTTTTTATACATACAGCATTATCTGGTTCAGTTAGAAGCGCGAATTCCCACTGATCGACGTGTGTGCGGGTGACTTTATTTATCCCAGATTCAAGCTATAAATCGCTTGTAAAAACCTTAAGGGTTTATATTTTAAGACCCATATTTACATGATAGCAAACAAAACAAACTGGTTGGCAGGACTATTATATAAATAGTCAATGTTTTAGTTCATTGACCTAGAAGTGTTCTTCTTGTTGTCTCCCTGGTTTAAAAAAAAACACCACATGCAAATAAAATGTGACAGTCACGTAATTGACAATCTAAACTCTACTTTATATAGATACAATCGTTACGTCCACACGTTTACAGTGACATCCATTAGTCTAAGTACTTGTAGCGTGCGTAGTCCAGTGGTTGTTAGCGATCCTGCCTCTGGACTAAAAGGTTGGGAGTTCGAATCCCGGCTGTTGTCGCTCACCCGACATGCACGCTACTGTTAAGGGTCGCAGTCCTCAGAACGGGACGTTAAGCCGCTGTCCACTGTTCATTGTGCTTGTCGAGAAGAGCTAGGGGAATTTCACCGGTACAATGAACCTGTAAATACTGTACATAACGTCTGTCTTCTCTGTCACGACCAGTGGAAGAGTAGCTCTTCAATGAGCTAAACTGGTTCGAGATCACTTTTACTTTCTTAGGTGCATGTGTATATTTGACCTACTTACCAACTAGAGGGTGATCAGCGAAAAGAGTGGGAAATTCTGTGGTCTTGATGAACAGACAAAACAAACACTTAAACTGGTTCGAGATCACTTTCACTTTCTTAAGTACATATGTATATTAGAGCTACTTACCAACAAGAGGGTGATCAGTGAAAGTGGGAAATGCTGTCGTCTTGATGAATAGACTAAGAAACAGTTTACAAACCGGTTAGTCTACGTACGTGTCCTAACATGTCTGCTTTCGCATGTGATTGGATGATTTTCTTTCGTCAATGTGTCTAATTTTGTAATTAGGCCACACAGACTTAATTTTTTGGATGACATCCTCTGAAGACCCCCAAACAAGTGCGCGCGGGCGAATAAAAAAAATCTGGCCAAAAATAAGAATGCTACTAAACCACAGGAATACAAAGCTGATATTGTGAATTTGCGGCAGTACGTAGCGACGTATACGACAAGCCGGCACATGTTGGCTTTTTGCGGAATTTATGAATCGGCACTGTACGCATGTACTGAGTTCTTGAGTCGCGGAGATTCGCCTTTAATTGGTGCCATCCTCCAGAGTTACCACCGACTCCGTATTGTCGCTAAACACCGTGGACTACCCAGGCCTAGAGCCATGCAGGGCAGAGCCTCGGAGGACGTGATCTTTTTTTTTCTTTGAGAACAGGTGAAAATCAATGCGCGCGCGGATGTCATCCATTTTATTAAGGCGGTGTGGCCTTATGTAGCTCAGGGGATGCTCTGATTTGGTTGTCTTGTTTTGTGGGCATGCAATGCCCGATTACCTGTTATAGATCGAGTCTAACAGCTGATAAACAGCTTTAGAACGGTACAGTAGCGGCCGGTATACGTGTATACACCATTTTACCAACGGAGATGTGATTTTTACGGTTCTCTCATCTGCCTTGTACATATCCCAGACTGCCTAATGCTTGAGGCAGCAATTATATCAACTAGCAATTAGCACGGCGGTCTGTCTCTACGGCATTCTTTCCCATTGCAAAACGTATCGGGTAACAAGCTTTGTGCATACTTTAAGCTTAACCCAATTACGCCGGTGCCCGTCGGGGTGTAGCCCGGGCCGGCTTCGGCCGGGCTCTGGGGTCACAATTGAAAGTTGTCTTCACGCTGCCCTATAGCTGCAGGGGTCCCGGGGCTCCCTCATTGGTCGGTTTTCGGCAGGTACCCGGCAGATGCTCTGTCGATGTCTTGTAGTGACCCCTGTGGAGTCTGACAGCTTTAACGCGTGCTTCTGACATCCCGGTGGGCCGGGGCATGCCTAGCCTCTACAAGGCACCGCGGATCGCTGGAAAAATAGTAGAAATTGGCCGAAATAAAGGGATAGTATACCAGAGAAGATCCAGGGCCATAGAAGCTCCAATTTGCGACCCACGGATCAGTCAGGCATTATGAAGGCTCTTGGTGGATACTCGTCATATTTCGCGTTTATATAAACAAACACTGCTCGAATCATTTACGTTCACTTACTAGTAGTACTTCTCTGACATGACTGCACGTGCCTTAATACAGACAACAATCGCCCACGCAGAAGATGCAGATCTAGAAGACGTAACAAATTCGTCCCGGTGGATTGCCGGCAACCGGAGGGGTGCCTCTTGGTGTTCTCGCGGTTAGGTCGCGGCGTCTTTATGTCAGTGGGGCCCGGGTAGAATTGAAGTCAGAGTTAAATTCTTCTCGAGTCCCGGACAGGTAAAAAAAATAGCCCGGTAGCCGCGGGGTGTTCCATGGGGCCACGCAGGGGTTACCCCCGAAAGTGCCCCGCCAAAACAGCCGGGGAACTACCCGCCAGGGCCCTTTTTTCCAATTGGGACCAAAGCTTTACCAGGGCGTTGGGCCGCGTTTACCAGGGTGGTAGGCCGAGTTGAACCGGCCGGCGGGCCGAGTTGACCCGGGCGGTGGGCACACACCAGTTTTGTACATGTACAAGCTGCGTAAGACGGACTATAAGGTTTGGACTGCCACTCACACCGGGAAGGACCCCTACTCTTTTCAATAAGTGCGATGGGTAATTTAACGTGCGTGGCGTGTGGCTCTCCCCAAACACGGGACCTCCATTTAATGTCCCGATCCGAGGGACGCCCCTAACCGAAGCTAGGTACTCATTTTCACCTGATCAAAGTGAGGAAAATCGTGTAAAGGAAAGTGCCTTTAATTTCCCACGGGTACAAGATCGAGTAGGATTCGACACATATTTTTCCGTGCAGACGGGGCAGCTTTCTTTCCGCGAAGACAAGTTTTTTTTTCTGTGCAGAAGACGCAGGTATTCGCGCAGACGAGGAAGGTATTCGTGTAGATGAGGAATTTTTTCTCTGTGCAGACGAGGAAGGTCATTCATCCAGACGAGGAATTTTTTTCTGTGCAGACGAGGAAGGTATTCGCGCAGACGTGGAAGGTATTCGCGCAGACGTGGAAGGTATTCGCGCAGACCCGCAGGTCTGTACTTACGGACCTGCGGAGAGTTTGTCAGCGCACGTATCCACCACACTAACTTTCATGGTATAACCCACGGTAATCTACTTTGTATGCATCTAGCTTCCATAGCATGCCAAAAACTGGGGGTTTTGGGGGTCTTCAGGGTCTTTGGGAGCTTTTATTAAATATATACATGTATATATATATATATACACACATATATTACTGTATGCTATTTTCTGATTGATTGATTCATATAGACAGCATAGCCAGCCTGGTTGAATTACTTGTTGAATTAGAACTGGGCTAATCAGAAAACAGCCGAAGACCACCAAAACCCCAGTTCTATAAGCCTGTTACGGAGGCTGGTATGCACCGCTTCTCGTTGACATTTACATACTAGTATTCTGACACGTGTCACCAGTCGAAGTCTCAAAATAAAGATGGCGGGAAGCGGTGCTGTAGAACAGGTCCAGAGTAGTACCCTGAGTGACCCAGCGTTCGGTAGCGACATGTTGTCGGTACTGAACGACCTGAGAGCCGAGGGAGTCCTGCTGGACGTGACGGTTGTTGCAGGAGAGCAGGAGTTCATGGCGCACTCTACAGTCCTGGCCTACGGTAGCGACTACTTCCGGGGCTTGTTCGCATCTGGTGAGTACCCTACGGTAGTTCCTGATTTTTTTACGGTACTTAACTGTATGTTAACTGTTTTCATGGTTACTTCTGTAACGTGCAGTTATCATTACTGTTATTACTGTTATCAAATCATTGTATTTCGCCCCCCCCCTGCCGCTACCATGAATACTGAGTTCCGTCCTATACTGAGTTCCGTCCTATTTTCCTTAGACCGTGAAGACTTCTGTGAAGACAGAGTGAATTACGGTATATATAGCGTGACAGGTCAAAATCCCCGAACATGGCCGATCTGTTTCTTTTTAGGCAACACCTAGTGTCTCTTTTGTAAAGTTTTGGGGTGTTACTGTCTATGCGCTGCTAAGTAGAGATAAAAAGACACCGAGATGGGTCAATTGTTATTGTATGGATTACGTTTTATATACTGTATTGTGACTAAATCACTGATGCTGTAAGTTAACAGAGTCAACCTATACAAGTTACGGAACTACAAACACAGGTCTGGTTACAGATGCGAGTACAATGTGTGATTACAGATAGGAACTACAAACAGCTTCGACAATCGGAGCTATATGCAGTTTGTATGTGTAAGTAACCTGCGAAATTGGCCTTGATTGACTCAAGAAGCTCCTTGATTGACTTGAAAACCAGCGGGCTATTAAATAAACATGAATTATTGCCTCCATGAAAAATGGTACTGCTACAGAACTCAGGTTTTTGTATCTTTTGTCTTGGACATGCTATGGTCTTGATTTTTTGGTGACAGGTAGCTTTTTATGTTCGAGGTATCCGTATGCTGTAGTATAGGATTAATTCAACTTATATGTACATGAAACGAATTAACAAAAAAATTGACTTGGAAGTAAGTATTGCCAGTGAAAATGCATTGGACGCCTTTAAAAGTCGTGCAGTACAATTTGTTTAAAAGGTAGTCAGTGTGAAATTTCCTTTACTCTTCTGTGTAGGTATGAAGGAGAGCCAGGAGAAACGTGTAGATCTGAAGGACCCCAGTGTCACAGCGGATATTTTTGGTCTCCTGCTGGAGTTCCTGTACACCGGGCAGCTTGTGGTCTCCTCGCTGAACGTGTACGAGGTTCTAGCCGTCGCCAACCACCTGCAGGTAACTACCTCTTGTCTGATCCTAAAGTACAAGAATTAGAATTAGGTTCTAGCGAATTGATACAAAAGGCAATTAGGCCTGGGAAAAATGTTGAGTTTCCTGCTTTCCCGATCGAGACCAACCCCCCCCAAAAAAAAAAAACAACAACTGCAGACCCTAGCCAGACAGAGCACATCAGACAACCTAATCATACCGAGGCCCCAACTGGAGGTGTATAAGCGGTCACTGAGGTATTCGCCAGTGTGGAACTTCTTGCAACCACATGTACGATCAGCCCAGTCATTGGGAACTTTTAGGAAAATGATAAGGCACTTGGACTGATAATGGACTGATGATTTACTATTTATTTTTGTATTATATTTTTTTGGTTTGATTTGTAATCCGTGACCCCGCCCTCACCCTCCACCTTGTTGAAAAGCGGTCATATGTCATACCGAACAAGCTTTCGAGTTTAAATAAAGGCTTACTACTACTACTACTACTACTACTACTACTACTACTACTACTACTACTACTACTACTACTACTACTTTCTTTTGTGGACCCCTGCAAGGGACATTTTTTTAACATTTAATATTGAAAATTTGTTAAACTGCATTCTATAAGTTGGATCAATAGAGATCACCGAACTGAGGAAGAAAAAGATAAGCCCTTCCTGTCGACCCTATTTCAGCAACAGGAAACAACCTTGTTTTCCTACGGCCTACCGTTTGTTTATGTGTATGTTTGTGTGTGTGTGTTGTGTTCCATCAATATCAGTATCCGGTTTGCATTCTGATGTTGTCTCCTGTACATGTGTTCCGTTGCCTTCCTAATGGTTAAACTATTTGGGACTTTATGTACACAAATAACGGCAATAGTATGTACGTTTTGTTATACGTGCCCCCTTGCTCTTTCTCAATGGACTGCAGGTTCAATCGGCCCTACGGCTTTGCGGTGAGTTTATCACACAACATCTACGTGATCCTCAATTCGACATGGCAAAATACACCAGAGGAGTCCAGGTAAGTTTCCATTCTTGTTACGTATACCTCAGGGAAGAAGATATCCTTCCGCGAAGTGTACTGTTTTGGGTTTGACGGATTTCTTTGATTTTCGGTATATTATTAGTTATTGGGGTCCATATGTTGTTTTTTTATTGCACCTGCAATTTTCTGGTGTTGAAATTTTACACCCCCGTGCTGCACGTGGTGTGGTTGTCTAATGGTAGGTAGGGACTGTTGTAAAAATGTATGAATTTAACCGTTGGGGTTATACGAAATGTGTGTGAGCAGGTCCAAATGTCAGAAATCTCATGTCTTTTTTCCCTTCTTTTTCTGCAATATATTTTTTTTCAACGGGAGCACTAGTCCTAATTAGTCTTAATTCTGTTTTAATTCTGTTTAAATTCAATTCAATTCCACGCAAATCGTACAAAAGCAGGGATTGGCAAACGCACCCCTGAATTGTGCTCCAATTTTTACAAAGGTTAGATTAGAAATAAAAAAAAACATTTGAACAAGCACACTATGTACAATCAACATCCAAACTAAAACAGGACAGCCTTGGGTAATCATTATCAACCATTATCGTTACACTGTGCTGTAGAGCTGTACGTTGAGTCCTTTCAGACGTTAAATACGGTCACATTCATTTGGTCAAGGTTGCAGACCTGTACAGCCTGAAGACCTTACAGGAGTCTCTGGACTCGGTGATTGCAGAAGACTTCATGGAAGTCACGAGCTCTGACGACTTTCTGGAGTCTGCTACAGAGGACGAGTTGATTCGGATTTTGCAGCTTGAGAAGCTTTCAGCACCGTCCGAACAACAGGTGATTTAAAGTGTTATGCTTCAAGCCCCGGTTACCCATTCAGAACCTTCTCCAGATCTTGCCCCAGAACACCAGCCAACTAAGGTCGGCTGAAGTTCGGGAGCAGTCTGAACAGATTTTAGCCTGGTTACCAAACCTATTATAACTCCCGAGTCCTACAGCCTCTCCGCAAATAGAGGGTATGTAGGACTCGGGAGCTATTTGCGGAGAGGATGTAGGACTCGGGAGCTATAATAGGTTTGGTAACCAGGCTAAACAGATTTAGGCCCCGGCTAACTTTCTGTAGAATTTGAGTTAATTTGAGTCAAATTCAACCCCCGAATGTGCCCCCAACACTGCTGACCTACTCCCTTCATGTCTGGTATGTTCTTTATATTAAGAATTTTACAAACTAGAGTTCATGGAACACATGCTTACGTCAGGTGTAGATATTTTGTTTCATATTAATGTGGAAAGAAATATACTTGTAACACAGATATACTTGAAAATGAATTTGCAATTTTTTTGCCTAAATTATCGCAACCAAGAGCACTAGTACTATTTTTTTTTACATTTACAATCTAAATTTGTATGTCAGCTATAATCTTGCTAGTATGCATTGGTCTTGAGGACAATCGTGGTGTCCCGAGTGGGGGCGCTCCCCTAAGCAATTTTCCATGACCCCCCCCCCCCCTAGTAAATATCGATCAGTCCCTTAGATCATCCAGGCTGCCGCCATGAAACTCCGCTGCAGTACGATTGGGTAAAGCCAGGTAGACCATTTTTGAACTTTTTGAACTACATTTCCACAACAGCTACCCACGTGCCAATTTTTAATTCATCCACAGCTACTCGAGTTATGATGTTTATCTACATTGTACATACGGAGACACACCACAGCTGCTCCACCGCCTTGACGTAAGCAATTACGATCATCACCTTAATTTTTCCAGGTGTATGAGGCAGTGCTGCGATGGCTCACGCACGACCCCTGCCGGATGGAGCATGCAGCTGCAGTACTTAGCCATGTGCGACTCGCGCTGCTGGATGTGGGTTTGCTGTACGGCCTGCTGCGGACCGAACTTGGAACCATACAAGAATGCAGGAACCTTATCTTGGAGGCGATGGCGTACCATAGTCTTCCAACTGAGACCAAAGAGGGCTGGCCACGTTCAAACTCCAGAGCACTAATGGATGAACAAGTACGTTACAGTCATGTCGCGATCTTTAAGTAGCCTAGCTTTCTGTGAAGCCCCTGTCACCCATGACCATAGCCGAGTATCCCGAACACCCTTGGTTAGACAGTACGAAAGCAAAGTCGGCTAGTGTTCGGCAAGGTCAGCTACTGTACAGCTGCGCCAGAGTTACCCCCACCACCTGATTTCCACCGCCAAAAACGTACCGATGATGGTGGTGGTTGTTGTTGGTGCGATGCTAATTCTTGTATGTGGGAAATGTTTCAAAACATTAGGCTGTGGACGGGAGGTTCGGCAATGGTTGCCTGGTGGCTTGCTGAGCACTAGGTCAAAGTTCGTCGGAAGTCTGTATCGCCCCCCGTCGAACTTTGACTTAGTGCTGACGTTACACGCATGGAAAAACGACATGTCTACAGCACTTGGGCCAGATAGCTAATGAAGACTGAGAGATTCGGTCGAAAATTCAACTTTTGAGTTGGACAACAGTTTGATTTTCACTTTGTAATTTACCAACTCAGATTTGATGCTTATTCAACAGGTGTTGTTGGCGTTGACCTCTGAAGCGCGGAAGTTCACGGTGAAGGGTTGGGAAAAGACCGCCATTTCGTTTGGAGGGTCGACCGCCAGCGCAGTTGCCGTTGTTGGGAATGTGCTGTACATGATTTGCAGTAGTGGTCTGCTTTTCAAGTCCTACGATCCAGTAACTGGCACTATAAACGACTTACACGCACCACCTGATTTCCACCGCCAAGCACCGAGGATGGTGGCTGTTGGTGCGATGCTGATTCTTGTATGTGGAAAAGATTACTCTCGCAAGAGTAAAGCTTGGTGCTATGACATCTCAGCGGGTCGATGGATGAAGATACCTCCCTTGGACCAGTACACGAGTGGTGTAGCGTTAGCAAGCTGCCGGGGAGCTGTGCTTGCGATCGGCGGTATGGTGAAAAGTACAGACAAAGATGGAAAGGAAATAGAAGTGCAAACATCTCGAGTCAAGATATTCGTCCCAGCAAAGAATGTATGGGAAGCAGTGTCACCCATAACACAACCTCATGCTGAAGCAACCACAATGGTGCAAGGAAACGTCGTCTACATAGCAGGTGGCGAGACGTTTGTCAACGGAAAGACGTGTTCTAACACAACCGTAGAGATGTGCAGGGTGTCTGTTGATGATGGGCACGGTGTGACGGTCTCGCCGTGGTCTATCGTCTTCCAGCCGCTGGTCGTACGCAACTTTGCCGCCCAGGTCGCCGTCATCGACCGTAAAGCCTACTTCATCCTCGGCAGACAGATGCACTTCACCGGCAAGTTTGTCGACCATGACCGCACGTCAGAGGAAGACGTGGAAGATATGTGCCAGTCGTTTCGGAAGAATGTTCAATCGGACAGTGTCGTGTGTGCGACTCTACTGTTCAAGGCACCCAAAGCGATTTCAGGGAAGTGAAACTGGACTATCAAAGTCAATACCTGCTAACACTAACTTATATTTGCCACTTGCTATCTCATTCACTCACACAATTTACTCTGATTATTTAATCACTTCTACGTATTAGGGCAACCATGGCAACAATACTTCTCAAGAGACTAAACTACGGAAGACTATATAGTTTATATGTGGAAAGAGACTCTGTACATGTGCTCTGCAGTAACCTTCTTGGCGAAGGTAATAACAGTTGAGAATACCGAGAGTGCACAGAAATACGCTACCGCAAGTAAACGGTATTCTGTCGTAGTAGTAGTAGTATTTAGTGTCGGTAGTAGTTAACGACAAATTTCGACGAATAACGACAAACTTTGATTTCCAATCTGTGAATGGAATCGCCATAAATTGTAAAATTGATCATGAAAAGCTCCAACAGGCGATTTCTGTGACGTCATTATTCGAACATTACGAACCGCTAGTGACATCATTAATTAGCAAGTGCATCCCGCTCGTAACGTAGAGTCCATTCCGTGTCACCGTGTGGGTTTTTTCTCCATGTTTCTAATACGTTTGAATTATTTAGAAGAAAAGAGTAACAAAAGTTCTAAATTTTTCAAAAATTTGAAAATGAAAATTTGAATATATTTGAATTCATTTATATATTTCTGAAACATTTTGAAAGTGACTGTGCAAAGATCTCTTTATTTAGAATAAATTTGAACTACCCATGTGTTTCTTTCACTATTCGAAATATTTAGAAATATTTCAAACAAATAACCAAATGGTAGATGTGGGTAATTGCCCCCATAAAAGTAGGTGCTAATCCTACTCTTCTGTATTCTTCTGTATATTTTTAGATTTCACTGCTGGACACTGGTGGCTCTTTTGTTGTAAGTCTGCCCTGTACTTCACAGGGATGTGTGAATTACTTCCTTCCCATCCCACTGACCTATTTACAAAAATAATTCGAAATAATGGTAAAAAATGGTAGAGTGCTGTTAGAAATATTTAGAAACTATTGGAAATGTCATAATCCACATCAGGAATATTTCAAACGTTTTAGAAAACCAGGGAATTATTTAGAATATTGACAAGATGTTCAAATTATTTCCAAATTATGAAATTTCCTAGACAAACAATTACAAAGAATTAAAAACATTTCTAAATAATGACAATAACCCACCCACACGGTGACACGGAATTGACTCTATGCGATCGTCTTTTCAGGAGATAATTCTGAAGATGAGTAAATAAATTTATATAAACTTTTTTGTGGGAACGAAGGACACCCCTGTAGCTATTTAGAACAAAAGAATTTCACTTTCTTACTTTAGTAATGATAAACGTTAGGGGAGCAAAGGATTTTTCAACTTAAATTTGGTCATTTTTCCCATGGAATAGACCAGTTTACATTTCACAGATCGCATGAACTGCTGCGTCAAAGGAGAGACATCTCAATAGAACGCCGTTCTTGAACCTCGAAGTTGAACGCGGCCTTTGCTTGTGATGTCCCCCCTGGCAGATCAATGTGATGTTCTGCAGCTCTGCTCTCAGATAACTGAGAATTGGCCATGTGGTGAGATTGGGTAAAATAAAGTATCGATAAGCTTTAGACTCAATATACAGGCACAGGTCAGGAACTTTCAAAAATCAAAGTTACCCACGTCGAGTAGAGTAGATGTCTTCGGCCACGTAGGAGCATAAGGCCATGTTGATTTGATTATATGGATGACATCCTCTGGGAACCCCAAAACTGATGCGCGCGTGCGAATAAAAAAAGTTTTGCAAAAAAAAAGTTGCATTCACTACGAAATCTACGTGGCCATGAAGGTTGAACAAATGGCACAGAATATGTTATGGCGAATAATCTACTCTTCGAATTCATTTCTTTACATTTTTGTCTTTTTTCCTTTGATTTTGGCATTCTACGACATTGGTATCGTTTCTAAATATTTTCCTTGCAACTTATGGTATATTTTTGTTCCATTAGCAACTGTTTTGCACGATTTACAGTATGGTTGAAAACTTTTTTTTTTGGAAACGGCCGAAAATTCATGCGCGCGCGGATGTCATCCATATAATCAAATCAACATGGCCTAAGTTCCAG